ATCTAACAAACAATTTGTAATAACACAGAAGAAAAATGCAGAGACCACTCTTAAGTTGGAAGACCTTTGATTTTGCAACCAAAATGGTTTTTCAACCATCTTGAACTGTTATTTGACTAAGACATAAACATCACAGTGATAACACATTAGTCAGTGTTCACAGCGAATTTCAAGTCCACAGATATACTGCTAGACAAAAAGTTTCCTCCTTCCAAAAGGAGAAGGAAAAAAGGCTTTTTGAAACCAAAGTTCATCCTAGAAATGTTTTAGAAAGTGAACTAATTAAATTTAAAAATAAATCCTCCATGTAATTATCAGATGACCATAATTTTTCAGATATTTAAAATAATTCTCCCAGACTTAAAAGGTTTCTAAAAGGATATTAAATAAAAAGCTGATTAACATGTCATTTAGTGCCTTCTAGGAAACAGAAAAAAGTAAAAATTAATTTTACTGTACTTTCTTCTGTGTTTGGATGACAGCACCAAGTGATAGTCTTTCCTGATAATAATGTATTGCCCTGTACCAAAAAAGGTTCTTTGCAGTTTCAGATTGTGCAGTATTTCAGTGTAGTGCATTAATGTTACTCTCTTTCCAGTTAATAAAATGTGAAACACACAATTTTTAAGGTTGTGTACTTTTAAAGCACTTAACAATGAAAGCAACAGTTTTGTTGAAGATAGGCCAACAGGATGAGTGCTATCCTTATTTTTTTCCCAGACTAGGGCCATTTTTTGGTAAATTCCACAAAAACATGAAAAGAAAACGTTTTCCTTGTTGAATTATTGAACTGCACACATTATAGTGCTTGGCATAAAGTTCCTACCTTGTGGATGTATGCTGGAAAGCAGAAGTTCCAGTACTGTAGTCCGGTTTTATGTCAGCAAGGTTTCATTTTGGCACTGCCTCCTTTCTGACAGTCTCAACTCAAGCAAGAAGCTTTTTTTGTGATGGTGTCCTTGACATTGTAAGGAATGTATTACCTCTCCATTTAGCATCTCACCTCACAGCCTGCCGTTGTCTTTCCAAATGAAGTGTCTGAAACCAAAGGCTCCCTGTGGATCTATCAGGCACCGCCAACCCTTTCTTTGCAGACTATTTTTGACTGTGTATGCACAAGCTGAAATACAGCTCTTACAAAAAATTTCTCATTCTGTTATTGCTGGGGTGATTTAGAAGGAAACCGATTTTGATTAGCAGTTAAAGAGAGGTCTATCAGCTGCCTTTTTCTCAAAGCCAGAGGTTCTTGCTGGCATCACACCAACATTCTCCTAATTGTCCCAGTGTTACATTAAGGCAAAGCATAATCAGTTCTCAATTTCATATCATCATAGTTATAAATAGTCAATCAGCATCTTCAGATACACTGAAACTTTTCTGCAAACCCTCTGCATTAATTTCCAAATTCCTAATATTTAGCAGCAGGGAAGCGTCCAGGAATTTTTAGTATCAGGATTTCTAAAAGTTTAATTCAAATATACGCTGCATTTTGTCTGAGAGTTGTTGAGCTGCAGACATCTTGGTATAAGTAGCTATACTTTTATTCTGAAATTAATATAGCATCACAACTAATTTAAATATGATTGGGAACATCAAAGAAAGCTGAGGATGTGGTAATTCCCACTTACCTGGTTTTTTGAAATTTTGTGGTACTCAGGCAGGTTATTTCACCATGTCCATTGACTTTCTTGCACACAGTGGATGCCATTACTGCTCAGAAATTAATTATCATAAGTCCATGGAAGTTCATAACATTAGGGCTAAGACAGCTGGTGTCAAGAGAACTTTCCTGAAGCCATAAGACATTATACTTCAAAGAAATTGCAATATAGTATTATTGACTGATTTAAAATATCATTTCTAATTCCAGAAATTAACTGGAATAATTTGCCCACCAAAATAAAGAAACAGTTGATTTTTCCAAAACAAAATCATCTATGGAGAACAATGAAATTTAAAATGAAAAATCATCTATTTGCTAAAACCAGAGAGAATTTCCCAAATGAAAATGAGATATTGAAATCAAGTTTGTGCTTAGATCTTTTTTTTTTGTCTCACAAAGAAATGTGCCAGAATGATAAAAGAGTTGCAGTTCAGTCTGGAACTCAATTGTATATGATAAACCAAGGTTCCCATGACTTTGGGGTTTTTTTTAACTTAAAACTACAAAGTTTCATTGAAATCTAAATTGGAGAAACGTTCTTTTATTTTACTAGCCTCAAATTAGAGGATTGTTTTCATGCTGAATGTATTTCTAAAGAACCAGAGTACAGAAAAACTGCCATCTGATTAACTACAGTGAAACACAACTGGAACACTTGCAGAGAACTTTTATATGCCTGGCAGCTCCTGTGACTATAAAGGCTTATATTTTATATATATATATATATATATATATGGTAAAAAAATTTTATAAGGAAAATCAAAGGTTGCAAGAGAAATTTTAGACATATTTTCAAATGGCCCAAAAAGGCAGAGACAGTTCAGCTATTTAGAATAACCATAATTACTTATATTATAAGAATTATTTACCTGGTGGAAAACACTGGGAATGAACAAACTTCCAGAAGAAGGACAGAACCTGCCTCAGGAACAGTTTGAGATACACAACAGAACTGCAATTTTAATGATTGGTGAGCATCCAAGCATCATTTCAAAACAAAAAGTTTTCCCTTTTAGTCTTACAAAGAAGGCTGTAAAGACTTCACTCCTCTGATAACCAGGAATCTTCTGAACTCTATCTAAAACTGATAATTTCTAATGTTCTGTATGTCATGGCAGTATTCAGTCATGGCGTCTTTTCCCCTCTAATGTGCTAGGAAGATGAGTCAAACTCATTGAATCATGTCTCATAAGATGGCATCTTTATTCCCCATACTCTCCTTGTGGCTTTTTCCTCCATTCATTCCAGTTTGTTCTTTCTGAACCAGCCTGAGCACAGGTAGATAGTATTTTGGATGGAATTTCTGGAGTGGCTTGCACAATGGCACTGAATTTCCCATTTCCTCCTGAAAATGTTTTGCTATGTGTATTCCAGGATCATAACTTTTCCCTGTAGTCTTCCTATAACAAAGACAGTCCTCTTTTCATCAGCTTTTCCAGTATTTCCTCCTAATGAGTTCCCAGTTTACAGAAAGATTTATTAAACACCACATAAATGGCTTTGCATCTCAAATTGTGAACTTTCTCAATTTCTATTAATCCTCAAGGTCATCCAGACACAATTTGTCACATTATTAAGAATTCTTCTTAATATTATCTTATTAGCAGGTGTCTAGATTGGGTAGAACAGCAATTCAGGGAAGCCTTTAATATTATTAGAAAAAATTAACCCTTGATCTCTGTGCGAATCATTCTGTTAATCACCTTGTTATACTCCACCCCTCATATGCTCTTTCATTAGCCTACATTTTATAATTCTACCTGTGGTTTTCTTAACATTAATAAGCACCACACATTTTACTTAAGTTATGTGATAAAAAAGCCACAGACAAACAGCAGAGACAGACATAACAAGGCGTGCTGAGAATCACTTCAGGAAAGATAATGTTTCCTTCAATATGTTTCAAGAAATGCCTAGAATATTTTCCTTTTATATATATAAATTAGGGGGCTTTTCCATCTTTCTTAAAGAATAGTTTATCTAATTTTTGACAGTAATCCAAGTCCTTAAAATTATTGAAAATCATTTGATCTGTGAATATTTCTAGAGGGTCTAATCAGATTTAATGCTCCAGCTTCACAGGCTTATCTTTGCTTTGGAGAATTGCATCCCCTCTAAATGAAAACTTTGTTAGACATATTAACAGTTGTTACATGGCTTTGTGCAACTTTTTCAAACCCAGCTATTAATAGTGAAGGACATTCTTCTTGTTTTTGTTTTTCCAGTGAAATGTCAGAATTTTGTGCAGAATGCATATAGGTTTTTTTAGAAAAAGCTACTTGAAAAGAAAAAGAAACTTCTATCAGGAAAACATTTCTAATAGAAAATGTTCAACTTCTGTTGCCTGAGTCCTTTTGAATGTCCCAATCTCAGCTGGTCAAGTGACTACCATAAAAGCTTTTCTAGCTATGTTAACACCAGCCTGGCATCAAATTGCCATTCTCTAAATCCACAAAACTTTCCTGGAAGTCTGTGTTACAACTTTTGCAGAAGGCTCCCATGTAATTACACCAAAAATGCATAAAACGAAGATTCCTCTCCTTTGGTTAAGCACCAGTTCCGCTCTCTTTGGAGCATTGTACCTGGTGTGGGGTCTGCAAATCAAGGAATATGCTGCAAAATTGGACAGAATTCAGAGGAAAACTGTGAGACTGCTTAGAGGTGAAACACAGGTATAGAACTTACTTGCAAGAGAACGTGTTTAGTTTGTTGAAGAGAAGGTTAAAGGGCTGCCCAACTGCAACCTCAAAGTGGATCCCACACAGCAGGAAAAAATATCATAGAGGTAATTTTGAAACAACAAGCAAAACTATTGGAAGATCCAGTGATGGGAAGCTGACATCATGCAAAAGATAGACTACAAGCAAGATTCCATTCTTAATTATGAACATGTGAGGAAGACACGCAGTAGTTTCTTTATGATTTCCAAACTAGATTTGATCTTTTTGGAGGAAAAAAAAAATAACAACATGGTCTATTTAAACATAACTATTGTGTTTGAAATAGTAGATAATTCCAGAATATAATGGTTTATGCAGTGGAACTGAGGAGATAGCTACACTGGTCCCATCTGTCCTCAAAATAATGATTTACTGAATGCATTTTCTCTGACATTACACTGTACAGTCATAATGTGATTATTTCAGTCTGATTTTTTTTCTTCTGTCTTCTGTTATGTCTTGTTTGCCTTGCTGGCTTTGCATTTTTTAATTTCTTTTTTGTTGTATTTATTTATTTATTTGTTTTGTGTGTGTTTGTGGGTTTTTTATTGGTTGGTTGGCTGTTTTGTGTTGTTTTCGTTTGGTTTGGTTTTTTTTGTTTCTTTCTTTTGCTCCAGGAATTGGCCAAGGGGTTCCAGTGGTGGCCCTTATTGTGGAAGGAGGTCCCAATGTCATCTCCATTGTTCTGGAATACCTGCGTGACACTCCTCCTGTTCCTGTTGTGATATGTGATGGCAGTGGCCGAGCGTCTGACATCCTTGCCTTTGGCCACAAATATTCTGAAGAAGGAGGGTAAGTCATTTCATAGCATATGTTCTTTCTCCATCCACAGGTTCAATTCAGTGATAAAGTAGAGCACAGGAAATTATTAACAATATTGTATAGAAGCAACACCTACCTCACATGGCCATTTCCATCTTTGATATGGGTGAAATATTGAAGGTATTCAGAGCATAACAAAACAAGCCTTAAAACAAGCCTCATCTCTGAGCCTGCTCTGCTTCAGGCTGGAGAGTCTCAGCTCTCTCAGCCTTTCCTCATATATGAGGTGATCCAGTCCCTTCATCATCTTGGTGGCCCTGCTGTGACAGCAGCAGCTACTCCAGCCCTGGAGAAATTACTCTGTAGTGTGTCACCACCATACATGAGATTCTTTATGACAGACAAAATTAATCTGAGGAGCCCTTCTTTGCATCCCCTTGCAGAAGTTTGGCTGTCTTCTTGGTCTGTCTCTTGGATAGGCCTTTCCCAGGAGCCAGTTAACGAGGACTTGGCCCTGCCTCGTAAGGGATCAGTTGCAAATAAGGCTACAGGCATCCTAGATCAAGAGTAGCAGCATGTTCATTAGAAACTGCTGGAGCTTTCTTGGTCCACAGCTTTGTGGCTGCCCTAACCTGTTCCTTACCTGACAGCCACAAGCACCCTCAGAGGGTTTCCAAGTGTTAAGCAATGATCAAGGAGTTTTCCTCTCAGAAGTTCCAAAATCAGAACTCAGTCTGATGCCCAGAGTAGAAAATAACAAATAAAGGGAAGATTTAGCAATTTAAAAATATAAATCTGTAAACATTGAGCTCTAGACCAAGCAGTATTACGTGTTTTAGAAGTAAATGTGATGATGAACTCACTCAACCCAAAACTCCTACTGGGAAACAGATAGTTTTCCACAAATGCTTAAATCCATTTTATATTCAGGTTCGTGCTTAGTACAGCATTGCATCTGTAAAATATATGAATGTGCCAGGTATCACTGAATCTTTGAGAAGTTGTTTCTCTGTTTTCAGTGACCTCGCTGATAACACTTCACATAGCCTTACTCAAATATGCTTTATGTTTGTATTTGCTATGTACATCTACCTTGTGTGTGTTCTGACGTCAACATAAAAAAAATCACAGGAGGAGACTTAATTAATGTATTCAAATATATAAATGGAGCTTATATGGAAGGTTTTTTTACAAGGACCTGTAGTGACAGGACAAGGGGCAATGATTTTAAACTGAAAGAGGGTAGCTTTAGACTGGATATAAGTAAGATCCTTTACAGTGAGTGTATTGAGGCACTGTCACGGCTGCCTTGAGAAGCTGTGGATGCCCCATCCCTGGAATTGTTCCTGGCCCTGTTGGATGGAGCTCTGGGGAACTTGGTTCAGTGAAATGTGTCCCTGCCCATGGCAGGGTCGTTGAAATTGGATGATCCTTAAAGATCCCCTCCAACCCAGACCATTCTGTGATTCTGTGAATTTATGATGCTGTGGTTCTGTTTCATCATCACAAACTCTTGCATGTAGGAAAGGCAAGTTCTGGTATCAATAGAGGCAGAACAAGCAATTTCTTACCTGATACTCTCATATCTGGCTTTGTGAAAGGTATTATTCTGTCTTACTATGGGTCTTCTTTGTGTCGGGGTCCCATTCCAGGTTGTTTCCTGAAACATTACCAACGAACAAAATTACTCATTTTTTCTGTTCACTTTGCACTAAATAGAATGCACAAACTATGAAATTTGCCAAACTAGCTAGTGGAAATTTCTGTGTATTCATCCATGTTCATAAAACATCAGTCTGGCATGCAGTGATATTTTTAATAATACTAGAAGTAAAAGACCAATATCATTATATTCATTAAAATATTTTATCCAAATTCATTAGACTTCAGCTACAAATTGGATCCTTTTTCCCTGTCTCTAACCCTTGTTTGAGTAGTGCTTAGCATTATGAGGAGAATACCAAATAACTGCCATGTTAACTGAATTCAGCTAATAGCTTTTTCTTTTGGATATGATCTAAGTAGGTTATACAAAACTGTGTTTATTAAACTCTAAATCAAGGTAATACATCTAAGTTGCATGCAAAGTTTAATTCTGCAGTAACTGTGAATGAGACTATCAAGACTATCAGACTATCAAAAACCTATTTTAATTCTGGCCACCTGTCAGAAGCAAGGTGTTCTCTGAGACACAGCATATCTTCGAGCTACTATGGACTGCATAGCTGATTTAAATAATTCAGCACTTAGATGATTAATGGTAGAAACAAACTCACTTGCACATTTATATTATTATGCTTATTTTGCACCATCTTAAATTCTAACTCAAGGCAGCCCAACAAGATTAATTTTCTACGCATAAAAATATGTGTGTGTGTCTGCTAAGCACTGCTGTGAGATCTGTGAGCTTTTAAGTTAATTTGAAAGTTTGTTTCCATGGGGAGAATAACTATGTCTGGAAATGACAGAGAACAAATACATCTTTCTGCCTGAGTTTTTATCAGTGTTGTGCCAATCCATCCATTTAAAGAAATCCTTCAGTGTATTGTAATTGCCTATCTGCCCAACAGGTCCTTTTGTATTGGGTTTCAAAGAATTGTGTTCTGCCAGCCTTCCCTCCTTTTTAATTATTCTTCCAAGAACATTCCACATAGCAGAAAAATTAATGATTTCTTGTATTAAAGAATGCGGTACAATGCCAGTGCCGGTGCATCTTTGAACGGGCAGGAGACAATCTGCCTTTTTAAGGCCTAATTGTAGGCTTTCCTGATGACAAGGCATCCATAGGACAGTCTTTGAGTAGGAGTTTTCACTGTGAGAGAAGCCTCAGTGGAGGAGGCTGCCAGCACAACACAGAGCTGTGCCCGCCCTGCCTCGCAGGAGGTGCCACCTGCTGCTCTGCGAGGCGCCACAACCACAGCAGAAGGAATGGTGAAGCACACCTTGAAGGAAAGATGTCTTTGAGGGAAAATCAGTTTGGGGGTCTCATTGTCTCATCTCTCTCATTGAAGTTTCAGGAGGAGGTAAGGCACATGTGCAGTTGTCTGCTGAGCTGAGGTTTTAGCATTACGAGTTATCATGGTTCTTCAGGTGCACAGAACTAACACGGGGGAAGATTTAAATTTACTAGGACTTTAATATCAGGAACTAAATTTTGGTTCCTTGGTCTGGAAAAGTCTGTAACAGAGTTTTAAGAATTCAATAGGTAGCTACATTTCAGTACAAGTAAATAAAATTCTCAGAAGTAATTTAGTAGAGCTGAGTAAATTCCTGGTACCTTTTACATTTTAATGACAAACAAGCTATGCCCACAGTACAACTTAAATAAGAAGGCATCTTAAACGCAGCATTCCCCATGTGGTAAATTGGAAGGATTATTTGGCTGCTTTTCACTATTGGCCTTGATTTAAAGGTCAGGTTTTTCAGGCTCTGAAGCACTTATTTTTTCTTTTACTTGAAAATACAATGAACAGCATTGAGGAGTGAGAACATAAGATCAATCATAAAAATGTAAATTTAGTCTCTACTAAGCCCTAAGTGGATATCTTCATTGGTAGTAAATCTCCTCCATGTACAGCTGAGTATTTTGGATTGTGTAATCAAGGATGGATGCCTTTTCATTTCATTTACTTGCATACAACAAAAGCTGAAAGTAAAACAAATGTGAAGTGCAACTTCATAGGAATGCTTTGAAGCTTTTAATTTTCAGACTTTTTTTTTCTTTATTAAATACTGAATTTAAAATAAAAGAAATAAAACACTAGGCTGGAATTATGTCACTTCTTAGAAAAATATTTCCTTACTGAATGAGAAATTACTTGCAATATTTGAATGCAGTCTCCAAGTTGAAATTATAACTCATTAACTACTCTATCAGTTCTACTCCTGCAAGCATGAGAATCTTAGGAGTTCCATTTAATGCCATAAAAATGTACTTCTTGCCTAATGTTCACAAGGAAATATCAAACATTCTCTGCACTTTAAATGAGCATCCTCATATGAAAATCATTAAAGATTGCCTATGGACTGACGTTTCTCTGGATCCACCGTGGCATAGGGTTTAGGATTCAAATCTGAAGAATATTATTTAAAAACCTTTTTGCTAATAGGCAAAATACAGGAATTTTTAACTTTGAGCAAAAGGGAACATAATGTATGATATGGTTCTTCAGTATCCCCCATGGTCTGTACCACAAGACTGGGAATCATGGATCCAAATCATGTCTGAACTAATTTGTAAAATTAGTTTCACATTGCATATTTTTATAACATTACTTTTCTCTAGTAACAACGTACTTTGCAAATCAAAACCAGGACATAAGAAGGTCAATTTGTTGACCTTGGGAGGGTCAATATATTCATCTCTCTTTTGGTGAAGAAATTACCCTTCAATAAACTGTGGCCAGGGAAAAATTATGTAGAACAACTACCAGTGAAGGTCTGTAGTGAAGCTGATTCCTCATAAAAGCACACAGAAATCATTCTTGTTTGACTACAATAAGGGAATAACTGCATATCATTTATTTTATTACCACTACTAATAATAATTTATTTATTACAAATAATTTCTTTTCTGTCTTTTCACAGAACAATGATATGCAAAATGTGTGGATTTGAAAATCTGTAAGACACTCAGCCAGTCCCAGAAAATTGCACAACTGTACCTTATTTGTAATCCAGTGGAAAAAAATATGACCAGAGGCTCTGGTCATGTTTCTTACATAAGGTGTGGTTGTCTAGAGTGCAAATCATAATTAAAACAAAAAATCCCCTAAGCTTCCTATCAGGAAGGGCAGGGAAGTTTTCATATCCCACTGATATTTTATGCACATATTTATTTACCTTATCATGGGAAAAAATATTTCAAAAATGAAAAGTTAGAAACAGCTTATGTGCAATTCATTAAGTGAAGTGTATAACTGAAAGACATTTCAAAGCGTTTTGAGAACAACACATTTTTAAAAATCTATTATGAAGTTGCGTTTTGAAAGTGGGCTAGTGCATAATCTTTTTAACTCTATAGTACATTG